TAACCTGTAAGTAATTTTATATACTACTTTGGTATTACAGTACTCTGACTACAACCTGTCACAGGAGATCAGGTGTGGAATTTTCTACTAGTAGTGTCTTGCTAAAGACAAAAAAGTTCTGGACTTTGAAAAAAAAAGTTCTAGATTTTGGAGCAGTTCAGATTCTGGATTTTCAGATTAGGGATGTTCTACCTGTATAAGAACACAATGGATATGGTAAACTGGGTTCTTAATCCGCCAGTATTAGCCTGAAAGACAATGGATTCTGTTTGAATGGTTGATTGTTGAAGCCAAATAATTTCTAACACTTACTTAGCCTTCATCAATGCATACCATTATAGAGTTAAGTAACAGCTGTTGCCAAAACAGGCCTTATTTCCTCCAAGTACTGCTTCAAGGTACTGAACATGGAGGTGTAAATACATCTGTCTTTTGCCATTTGTAGTTCTACTGGCCCCATGTATGTCTTGGAGTGAGACAGATGGTCCCTGATACTGCATAGGCTTTCAGGGATATGTATTTGCAAAAATAAGGAAGCAGATGTTAAATATGGTAAACACACGTTCTGTTCCCCGAAGGTTTAGGTTGAGGCTTCTATCTCAATTTGAGTATTTAAATATTGGATCCCAGGAAATTCCCAGAAATTTTTGCTTTAGAAATGCAACTTTGACAGTTATTTTATCCCTTGATGCAAAATATCTAGGACATGGAATAAATGAAAAGTAAGCTAACATAAATAAGCATAAGAAAGAAACTTCAAAAAGTCCATGAAAAAAGCCATCTTATAAAAAAAAATGTAGAGGTTTCCATTTTTTTTTTTTTGGCACCAAAATAAATTTGCAGTTTATTTCCCTTTTTCCATTAACTTTCTGAAGTCCCCTCATATCCTCATACTAAGTGTATTATCTGGCATATTGGAGGTAGTCATAGAATTTACGTGCCTATAAATGGGTCAGCTCTGTGTTCTCCTTCTACATAATCCAGGTTGAATACTACTTGTCAATTTTCTTTTAAAAATACTACAAAATGAGTTTCATACGAATAAAATTTGAATACATTAGAATTTCAAAGTGAAAAGAGACCTAAAATATGAAAACCCATTTGCTCAACACCCTGGTAACACTGATGTGGTAATCAAATTTCTCAGTACATACAGTAAAACTGAAAATAATCAGTGCTAGTTAGCCAACAGCAGTCTTGAGAACTGTTCAGAGAAAAAAAAAAAAGTAGTGAAATAAATAAATACTTTAAAATCTAATAAGATGAAATCTGACAGAATGAGATTCTCTTCAAAACTCAGCATATACTAAAAATGAAAATTTAGAGACTATATTTTTCATCAAAAATCAAATATTAATACTCTGACATAGCAAAATACACATATTTTAATGAAAATATTAAATGTTAAGACAGAATCAGAAACTATATTATGAAAACTCTAACTAAATGTTCAAGTAACGTAAAATAAAAGAATGATAGGGAAAGTTACAATAACAATTTCTGAATTTAATCAAAAAGTTCTTCAGAAGGTGGCTTAAGGGTATTGATTTTATAGTCCAGCCACGGACAAGTGTAAGCCAAGACCCCTACCATCAAAATATTTGTCAGCCTCTATATTCTATAACAGAAAGGGATAAAAAGAATAGTTAGTGGGGAGGGGAAAACAGAATTATTGGCTGGGTAATTCACAGTGTACTAAAACTCTGCCACAAGTAGAAAATTCATCACAGACAACAATTATGTGGAATTAAACAAAACAAAACTGGGCTGGCTCTGTAGTGCAGTGGTTAGAAGCTATATTGAGGGAGCCAGGTTCCACATGGCAGGCTGTGGTTCAAATCTCAGCCTCAGTGGATTGAAAAACATGTTGGCTGTGTACACCAGCCTATGATCCTGACATGATAAAGGGAAAGGACTAGGGTGTGACCACATCCCACTGGGAGCCACTTTCTCTCTCTAGTAGGTGCACACATCCTCTGGCATTAACAAAACAAAACAAAACAATGAAAACTGTTTTAAGAGAATGCCTTTGCCTTTAGAAATTAGACAATGAAGAGGTTGGCAGGTGGTGTGGTGGTTAAGGCACTAGACTCCCACATGGTCGACCATGGTTCGAGTCCTGGACAAGGAAACTTGCTTTATCACTTTGTCTCTCTCTTGTGAATTAAAAAGTAATAAAAATTTAAAATGAAATAAAAGAAATAATTCTTTTAAAAAAATAAATTACACAATGAAGCATGCAGAGATAAGAAAAAATTAATATTGGAAACAACAGGAAAACATTATATGTCAATGTGTATACAGAAAGAGTGAGAGAATATAAATAAAAAAATAAAAAAGTTAAGCTGTATAACATTTGGGAAATTTGAGTATAGTACAGGAATTCTTTTTAATAATCTTGAAACATTCTTAGAAGTTTTTACTTATTTATTTCTTCAATGAGAAAAAGAAACAGACACTCCCACAGGACTTCATCCCAGTCTCAGTGTGTATCACGGGCAAGCAAAGCCAGCACAGTATCTCTGGGAGGTCCTGGGCTGGGACCCTGATCCTCTGCCATGTAAGTACAGTCACGGCACCACTGCACCACCTCCTGGTGTCTGGTCTTGCAATGTTTTTACATATTGGAAGTTACATCAGAAAAGTTAAAACCAAATAGTCATTGTGGGATAAGTATGAATTATTCTCTCTAAATGCTTCAATAAAAGACATGCTGAAATATTTTTAATTTGGCATAAATAAAATGGTTTAAAAATTAAGAAACTAAGCCTAGATAACCATTTAGTACAAGTGTTTTATACCAACATTAATTTTGGAGCACATAAATAACTCAGATTCACAATACTTCATTAATAATTACTAGACTGTAATGCATGGGAGCCAAAATCAAAGCATACATGATCTAAAAATCAGAATTGTGGGAACATTTTTAAAAAGAAAAGGACACATAGAGAATTCATCTAAGTTAATACAGTGCAGTAGCACAGGAAGACAACAGATGACTGATACTTTCTATCCACCTTAGGGTAGAAAGAAAGAAGGTAGCAAGAGAGAGAGAGAAACAGAAAGATACTATCCTGCTATTCTGAAAATTTGGACTATACACACAATTAGACTCATTTTCCACCTCTTCCAAAAAATATATTTAATTAAATTCTGATATATCATTGTATTAATATGCATAAAACTTTGATTACTATCCTAGAGGTATATTTGGAAAACCTCTTTAGAAAAAGAAAGCTAATTCTAACAATACAGCTCTTATTTAAGTTAACTATGAATAAGCTTTCACAACTCTGAGTATTTTGAACCTTCTTTTTATATTCTTCTCATTCTGAAAATAAAATTAAATCCCAGCAGAACAATTTGGAGGATGGCTTCACTTAGACTCAGGAGAGATTGACAAAATATATAAGTCCTTTGTTGAACTGATTAATGCTGGGATGAATCAAGATGGTATAATTATGTTCTGACTGACTTTAGTACGTGAAAAAAGAACTGGAAAATTATGATTCAAAATTTAGTCTTATTTTTATTTGTTTTTACACCTTGGGAATATGATGTCATATGATGAAAAAGAAAAGCTAGCCATGAATATAAAGACATAACTGCTTCACTATTCATAGTCATTATTTTAATTTATTTTAAAGAAATTAACAGAGGAAGAAAAACAGAAATTCAATTTAAAATTACTCTGCTATTGAACATAGAAGTTAAAAAGCTAAAAGTAATCAAAAGACTTACAGGCCAAATGATCACTACCATAAAATGTCTGACTTGGGGTATAGGTGTACTGTACTTTTCCCATTGTGTTCCATTCATATAACACAAATTCAGTTTTGGCCTACATACAGCACTAGAATTACATGCTATGCAAACACCACTCCACTTAGAGGATTAATTCCTATGTTATAGTGATACCTAGAGCTCAGAGGCCTCATCCCTAAGAATATCATTTCTTCTCACAAATGTGACCTCTGCAAACACTTTACACCTAGCACGACAATATTAACATATACTGACAGAGCAGCAAAGCAATGTAACCTATTCCTTTTACTGGAAAGATACTGAAGGTTGGGCCAAGACAGGTAGGACTACTTTAGTATAGAATTTTGAAATAGCTGTTCCATGTCAAATTATGTTAAATTTCAGGATTACTTATTGAGGAAAACAAGAAATTTGCCCACGAGCATATATTTTCTGGTACAAAATGGACTTTTATTGTTAAGATAAAATTATCTAACAGTATCATAGACACTGTAGTTTATTTCTCAGGAACACAAAGTGATAATGTTATATTCCTAACAAAAAAAAATTAAATAGCTAAAATAAGCACAAAGAAATAAAGGGAATCATCAAAATCTCTCAAGAGGTTAATTACCTTTCCTAAAGAAATCTCAAATTTTGGGACTCTGGCTTTCAAATACTACCTATAACATCACATTGTTCTGACACTGTCAGATTATTAAAAGTAAATTACACCTCTATGTATTGGGTTGTTGGAAAAGTCACGATGCATTTCTCTGTGTTTTTCTATGTAAAAATGTGTCATGACTTTTCTGACAACTCAAAAGATGAATTTTCAAATATTAGAAACAGGGCTGTTGTCTAAATTCTCTCCTTAGTACTGTGTCTGTCAAAATTTGGTAGTCATTTTAAATTCCAATCGCATCTGCAATGGCCAAGAAAATGAAACCGTAGTGGCAGGCAAAGCCACATGGCAGCAAGTATGACTGAGTAGACAGGCCTGGTTTTTATTAGCCAATTCTAGTTTTCACAACTTGTCACTGCTGTGTTTTTCTATTGATGTGTGCTTGTACATGGTTGTGTGTATGTCTGTGTGAGTTCTATACTTCGTACTTACTCTGCTGCTATTAAGTCTCACATGGGCTAGAAATGAAGACCATAATCAAAACCATACAAAGAAAGAGCATGTTTTATTTTTACTCATTTAACCCTGTAAAACAGCTGTTTCAAAAGCATCAACCCTGAGGTCTTACCCTGTTCGCTTAGTGATGGTCCCCAACGTCATTGGCTGCTTGATTTGGGCAAGAGGCATTACTACCATCAAGCTGGGGAGAGGAGAAAGCCGAGGGTTGCCAGGGTTGTTGTTGGTAAAATTGTTGTAGGAGTCTTGGCTGTTCAGTTTCCCTACCAAGAAAAAATAAAGAAAAACATCACCAAGGAAAGCATCCCTATCTGATAGGGGTTTCACTGACCCCAATAATCATTTAAGGGAACCAGCAGTTAGCGTAATGGCTATGTCGTTGGACTCCCATGTAGTTGACCGCAGTTCGCGTCCCGGACTCGGTGGCTTAAAACTCATGCCGGGCGCATGTGTGTGCGTGCCCAAGATTCCGAGAGGAAAATGGAGGAGAAGGGATTGTGGCGTGACATCCCCCCTGGGGGGTGATTTCTCACTTTCTGTCTCTATGTCTTTCTCTGTCTGGCAAGCGCATGCGCCCTATAGCGAAAATCTCTCCAAAAAAAATAAATAATAATCATTTAAGAAAGGTATCAGGCCCAGCTACTGTGGCACAGTGCTCTTCAACACTGGAGGCCATGTGATGGGTTGCTTCCTCGGTTGACCCTGTACATGTAGGGCACAAGCATACAGCTCTGATCCTGGCAGACTAGGAGGCAAGGAAAAGGGATGGGGATTCACAGTGCAGGACTGTTGAAGGTACTGGTTGCTCTGTTTCTCTCAGTCTGTCTCTCATGAGGGAAATGGATGGGTATTTAAAAAAAAAAGAGAGAGACAAGGAAAAAAAGAATCCAAGGCAGAGTTGACTTCAAACACTTTTAGTTACATGTACGGATGGGAAGGAACTAAGAGTATTCAAGTATACCAAGTACGAGTGGATTTATAAACAATACTTTCAGTTTTAGGAACAGGGTTAAATTGCTTATCTTTCTAAAAACAGTCAATGTGGTTCATCACTTTTCTGTTTTTAATTGCCTGAGGGTATGCACACTCACCAGGAAAAGATGGAGACACTGAGAGACAGAGAGAGAAAGAGGAAGGGAGAGAAAGCACCCCCAATAGGGCATGGTTATGCTGAAATCCTTTATCCATTTCTCCACTCTGACAGAGTTTTAGGCACACACATACACATACACTGGGCATGATTTCCAGCCACCAGAGCCAGGATTCAAACCACATAGTCAGTGTAGGCTCCAGTTCTTCTAACCTATAGGCTCGAGCCCAGGCTGCTGCTCTTTTAGGATAGGTCACTACAGATAACAAAATTTGCCAACAATTTCTGAAAAAACAACAACAACAATAGAAATTTAGCTGGGCTTTTGATGGCCTGTTGAATTTCTAGATCAATTTAGGGAGCATTGTCTTTTTTTAAAAAAAAAATTATTTATATTATTTTAACTTTATTTCTTTATTTAAATTTGACCAGAAAGGGACAGAGTGAGAAAGAGAAAGCAAGAGAGAATGTGAGAAAGATAGCCACCAGGTCTGGGGCTCGAACCACAGTTGGTCACATGCGATTCCAGTGCCACCATGCCACCTGCTGGCCTCGGGAGCACTATCAACTTAACACTATTGAGTCTACTAACACAAGCACCAGAAGTGCCATTCCATTTATTTAGATATTCTTTTATTGCTTTTAATGTTGTTTTGTAGGTTTTAGGGTAGAAGTTTTATAATTTGGTTAATTTGCTACAAATATTTTATTCTTTATTTTTTAAGTTCATTTATTTATTCCATAAGAAGGAAAGAGAGAAAGTAGCACACTATCCAAAGAGGTTCCCTCAACTCAATCAAACCCTCACCCTGCTGGGATCACAGGCACACTCACACACATCTGACATGGGAGACACGGGGCAGGAAGTCAGGACCCTCCCACGTGGCCCCAACATCATGGAGCAATGCATGACCACTGCACCACAACGGCTGACATTTCATTCTTTGTTGATGTAACTTTGGTATAAAATTGTTTTCTTATTTTCACTTTCAGATTGCCCATTGACAGCAGATAGAAAATAAACCTAATTTATGTACACTGACCTTGGATCCTACAGCTTTGTTGAATGCGGCTTTTTGCTTAAAAAATTTCCTATGGAATCCTTAGGATCTGTTATACCTTTAACATCTACAAAAGAGAGCTAGCTGTATTTCTGTCTATAAGATCTACATGCCTTCAATTGCCTTTATTAGCTGGTTGCCTTGACTAGAACCTCAAGTATGATTATGAATAGACAGGGCAAGAAAAGACTGATTTATTTTTAGTTAACTCGTGTATATAAAATGAGGGTTTAGGTTCACTGTGTTCATTGTTTAAAAAATAGATATCCAGGGTCAGCTGGTGGCATGGTGATTAAGGCAGCTGGATCCCACATGGCCAACTGAACAGTTTGAGCTTTCAACCTGGGAACCTGAAAAACACACTAGATGCATGTGCATGCGTGCCCAAAATCCTAGAAGGAAATGGAGGAGACAGGATTATGGTGTGGCCATCCCTCTTGAGGGTAGTATCTCACTTTCCCTCTCTCTTTCACTATCTCTCTGTCTCTCTCTGGTGAGTACATGCACCTCATAGCCAATAGAAGAAAAAAAAACATGCCAATTGTTCCACCATTTGTTAAAGAGATGATCCTTTCTAAATTAGTTATCTTTCTATTTGTGTCAAAAATGAGTTGACTAGGCCAACATCATGGCCTCCTGATTAATAAAGCCATCTCCCACATGGCTGACCACAGTTCAAATACTGTCCCTGGCAACTTGACAACACACTGAGCATTTGTTCATGTACACCCAAAATCCTAACAGGATGGAGAAGAGATTGCAGAATGACCATGCTCAACTGAGTATTTTCTCCTTCTCCCCCTGTTTCTCTCTAGTAAATGAATGCAACCTCTGGAAATTTAAAAAAAAAAAATTTAAATGACTCATATATGTACATGTTTATTTCTAGATTCTATTCCATTGATTTGTGTAACTATCCTTTTACCAATACCATGTTTTCCTAATTACTGTAGTTTTCTAGTGAGTCTTACTGATTCATGGACTTACAGAGAAACTTCATAATAATTATCTCATTTTCTTTGTTGCAAAAAGAATGTTTATAGCCAACAAGTTATACAGAAAACATCTTACTGAACACATGATGATTTTAAATCACTGTTTTTTTATTTTATTTTATTTATTTATTTGCTATAAGGCACCCACTTTACAAAACAGATGGCCTTGCCTCAATCCCTTCTCCTCTCAGGATTTTGGGGACACACCCACACATGCCCCCTACACTTTTCAAGCTGCCTGGTCCAGAACTAGAACCACATTATTGGCCATGTGGGATCCAGCTGCCCCAAATACCACACCACTGGTTGGACTTCTTGTTGATTTTCATAAAAATTATCTAGCTCCATTTATGGTTAATAATAAGTAGGATATTTTAAAAATGATAGCTTAGTAAACACACATGCAAATTTTACCAATTTAAATTAAGGCAATAGGGACCAGCAGATGGTGCAATGGTTACATCACTGGACTCCCACGTAGTTGGCTGAGGTTTGAGTCCTGGACCCAATAGCTTAAAACTCACACCAGGTGCATGTGCATGCATGCCTGAAATCCCGAGAGGAGAATGCAGAAGAAGGGACTGTGGTGTGGCCATCCCACTAGGGGGTGATTTCTCACTTTCTCATGCACACATGCAATATATCTTTCACATGCAAGCACACGGGCCCTACAGCAAAAATCTCCCTCTAGAAAAAAAGAAAGAAAAAGAAAAGAAAAAGAGAGAAAAGGGCTCATGGAGCACATGGAATATGACCTAGACTTTGAAAAATGTGCAAAATAGGGATAAGAGTAGGAGACCAGAAATATTCTAGGCATGGAGGAAGAGGGGTGTAAAGGAATGTCGTTATGTGAACAGTAGTGAGGAATCCCGAACTGTAGCAGATAATAATGCAAAGCAGTTAAGAGGATAAATTATTTCCATTTTAGGAGGACCTTTCAACTGAGGCAGAGGAGTAGAAACTTATGTACGTTTTTCAGCAAGCAAACAGTATAGATGTTGAAGTCATTGAACTTTACAGATAAGAGGAGGGGTCTGCAAAAATGAATAACTCACTGCGCAATTTCAAATCTTGTGGTCTAGCTAGCCATGACTGAAATGCTTCACTTTCTCACCAGGATAAAGCACAACCAAAGAATAGCATATGGGCACATCAAACCTATCCTTCTCAGCCTGTTACTGTATTTTTACATCATACCCCAGTGTTTGTGGTCTTTAACTCTTGATATCTGTGTTTATGATGTAGTCTCTGAAACCTAGAATACATGAGAGAATAAAGTTGTGTAGCTTTTATTCCATGTCATGTCACAGGGGTAGTAGTGTCTGTTACACATTACTGGATATATCAAGCAATTTATTGGGCCTATGCTTTCCTATGCAAAAATGCATCATGACTTTTATGACAACCCAATATATTCATGGTTTAAAAAATAAATATGTTAATAAAATGGTCAATAAGGAAGGCAAACTCAGAGGAAAAAACTACTAACTAGAATTTTCAACATGGTAGCTTCAAGAGAGGTAGAAAAGTCATATCGTAAGGGATAAACAAAGGGACTGGTTGATGGGGAATGATCATGGTAATGGATTTAAAACAAAGATTTAAGGACGGGGATTGTAAAGAAGACATTGATGGGGCTGGCAGATAGTGCAGTGGTGAAGGCACTGGACTCCCACATGGCCGACGACGATCTGAGTCGCAGACTTGGTGGCTTGCTTTCTCACTTTCTCTCTCTCTCCCTCTCTTTCTCTCATTCTCTGTTCCTCTCTGGTGAATTAAATACTAATAACAATAATAAATAAAATAAAAAATAAATAATTCTTTAAAAAAAGAGAAGACATTGACAAGATTAGATCATTACAACGAGCAAAGGTTTCATTCAACATTCATTCTTTCACTTTACAATTCTGGAGGATTATTGGCATTAAACCCTGGATAAATTAATCAAAGGAACTTTCAAAGAGTTTATAACACAATGCTGCAGAAAGGCATATTAACAAAAAATGAAAAACGGAAAAAAACAAGCTAATAAATTTGTATGTAAAAGGGAAAGAAAGTTAACGTTTTAAGTACAGAGGAAAAAAACTAAATCTTATTTTGCTTTCTAATAGAAAATA